AAACACCCCACATACTTGAGGTTTTTTCTAAGCTAAAGTAAATTTCTATTTTCTACCAACCTCATATCTCCCCCTCTCCCTTCTCCTTTATTAAACATCCCCTCGCTTCTCTCTCTCTCTCTCTCTCACGAATCTCCGCCTCCGGAGGTTAAATTCTTACTCGCTGCTCATCTTCCCTTCTTCAATCTCCAGGTAACGCTCTCTCTCTTTCGCTCTTTTGATCGAACAACCTTATCTTCTATTTTCGTGACGGCTAAATCCCTCGAGGTTTTTGGGATTCTCGCTGTGGAATTTGCCTCTCTCGCGATTCTGGGGTTAAGTCATTCGTTCCAAAGCTCAGAACTGGGAAATTTATTCTAGGTTTCGGATTTGAGCCTTTCAAAGTTTGTTCTTTTAGGGTTATTAGGCGTTTTAGAGAAATGGGTATTGCTTACTTTAGCTGGAAGGGCAGTTTCATTTAGGGTTTTGATTTTGTTTTTTTTTATTTGCTGAAATTTTTTCTGTCCTATGTTTTTTAGGCATTTGAAAGAGCTGGGCATTGATGGAAATTTTATCCTTTGTAGGGTTTTTAGGAACTGGGTTCTGGGTTTGTGTTATACAACGGCCGATGTGTTCTACGCACTTTAAAGAGTAAACACTGCTCATTTAGTTCACACAGGAATACCACTACAATAGCTGAGGAAAGGGAAGAGAAAAAAAGGAGAAATAAAAGGGGATCAAATATTAGTTTTAGTAGCGAGAGCAGTATGTGGTTTGAGTAATGCTGTAAAGTTATTTCCTGTTTACTTCTCAATGTGATTCTTGATAGATCCAAGTGTTTGCTGTGCTATACTCTAATAGCTAATTCTCACTGTCATGATCCGTGCAACACATGTGAAAGCGGCATTGTCTTATCCAGTCAACAATTTCTAGTTCTATTTTTAGCATACTTTTTGTTATATCTTGCTCGGCCTGGTAGTTTTCTAGTGTGTTGGTGGAGATGTCTTGATAGAGATCTTATCATGTGTGGAGTTTTAAGGGAGTTTATAATGTTTCAAATAGCAATGTGCTGTTTGGGCTCATTTTAACTAAGTATATATGAAGTATTTCCATACATTCAACCGGAATTAAGAATCATGGGAAACACACATACTATTATCTGGTAATAATCATTGAGATTCGAATTCCACATGTTTGGCGATACAATATGCATATATCATTATTTGTTATCGGTTACCAACTATTGTTTCTACTAATTTTTCAGATTAAAAAGAAATTTATTGTATAGCTGTCATATTCAAGTAGCAATAAACCTGAACTGTTCACAATCTCGCATGGACTTGCACACATTTGTCTAATTATTGGTTTTCTTGTGCAGGTTTATTTGATGATGACAGCATTGTCTGTTGTCTGACCTACGACGAGGGTTAATTTTGGGCTACCGTTGTGGTTGCCATGAATGTGACAAAAGGATTATAAGTTTCATACTTGGTACTGATCTGTGCATGTGCATGCTCAGTTGGACGCTTAGTTTTGAGACTGAATATTATAATATACTTTTTATATCAGAGTAAGATGAGTAGAACTAGTCGCAATAGCGAGGTTACTTGCGAAAACTGTAATGAAGGCACTGCAGCTCGGACAAGACCAATTAGCCTTGAAGAGATATTGTCAAGACGGAAAAAGAAACTGAATGTGGATGATAAAGGAGAAGCAATAGCTTCTGTTGAGAAGGCTGATAGTGGTCCTGGATCTGATAAGGGTCTTGAGAGCAAGAAGGAATCCAAAGATGCAGCAAAAGACAACTCCAGGAGCTTGGAAGAGGCAGTCCCTAAGAAAGAGCGTGAATACTCTGAAAGCAGAAATGAAGGGAACGGAGATTCAGGAGCCAATATGAATTCGAAATCTTATGATAGTAAGAGTAGTAGAGATAAAGAAAGCAAGAAGGAAAAGGAAAACCGAGCTGGTTTTGAGAGGGAATATGAAAAGAAGCTGGCTAAAGTTTCAACAGAGGATGATAAACATAAGGAAAGAGACAAAGAAAGCAAGAAGGAAAAGGAAAACCACCATAAGAGCAGAACTAGCAACCACTCAGGTGCTGATTTTGAGAAGGAATATGAAAAGAAACTGGCTAAAATTTCAATAGAGAAAGATAAACACGGGGAAAGAGACAAAGAAAGCAAGAAGGAAAAGGAAAACCACCAAAGGATCAGAACTAGCAACCACTCAGGAACTGATTACGAGAATGAATATGAAAAGAAACCGGCTAAAATTTCAATGGAGAAAGATAAATACGAGGAAATAGACAAAGAAAGCAAGGAGGAAAGGGAAAGCCACCATAGGAGCAGAAATAGCAACCACTCAGGAGCTGATTTTGAGAAGGAATATGAAAAGAAACCGACTAAAGTTTCAATAGAGAAAGCTAAACACGAGGAAAGAGACAAAGAAAGCAAGAAGGAAAAGGAAAACCACCATAGGAGCAGAACTAGCAACCAGTCAGGAGCTGCTGTTGACAAGGAATATGAAAAGAAACCGGCTAAAGTTTCAATAGAGAAATATAAGCCTGAGGAAAGTGACAAAGAAAGGAAGAAAGAAAAGGAAAACCACCATAGGAGCAGACCTGGCAACCAGTTGGGAGCTGATGTTGAGAAGGATTACGAAAAGAAACTGGCTAAAATTTCATTGGAGAAAGATAGACATGAGGAAAGAGATAGCAAGTCTGGAAAGGAAAGGAAAAGAAAACATGACAGTCACAATGATGATAAAATTAGACCAGAGAATGATGATAAGGAAAGGAAAAGAAAACACGGTGGTCACAATGATGATAAACTTAGACCAGAGACTGATGATTTCATATCAAAGAAGCGTGATTTTGGCAAATCGCGTGGTGCAGAGTATACAGTAAGAAAGGATCAGTACACAGAGCATTCAGAAAGAAAGGATCAGAAAAAAGAGCACTTGGAAAGAAAGGATCAGAAAAAGGAGCATCCTCGAACTCATCATGAAGAGTCGAGGACAAAAAGAAGGAGGTCAAGAAGCCGAGAATATGATCAAGAAAGGGATAGGTCACGTTCAATGTCCCCTAGGGTGCTTAGAAGCTCCCACCGTGGAATGGATTATGATGAACCTATCTTTCAGTCCTCTAAAGACAAATCAAGAAGAAAATATTCTGATAATGATAAATATAGGAATTCAGGGAATGATGGTTATGGTAGCGGGCATTATCGCAAACGTGGTAGTGGGCTTGGGGGCTACTCTCCGAGGAAGAGGAGAACCGGGGCAGCAGTGAGAACTCCATCTCCAAAGAAACTCTCCCCAAAATGCTCTCCTAAACGCTCTCCGGAGAAGAAAAGTTCCACATGGGATCAGCCTCCAGCAGGAACAAGCCATGGTGGTTCTGGATCTATTTTTGCCACTCTTCAATCACCATCTAGTAAGGCTGTTGAGTTAACATCTTCTACGCCATTTACACAAACTGCGACAAAAACCCAGCCAGTACCTTCAACTGATGCTGCATCAGTTCTGATAAATGCATCCATTGATTCTGTTCAGTTGACGCAAGCAACCCGCCCAAGGAGGAGGCTTTATATAGAAAATTTACCGATATCTGCATCTGAAAAATCAGTAATTGACTGTCTTAATGATTTCGTCCTTTCATCTGGTGGTAGTCACATTCAAGGAGCTAAACCCTGCATCAGTTGTATAGTATGTGATTAGCCAACTTGAAATCAATCACTGCATTCTTCTTTACTTTATATTTTGTATAAGATGTTGAGAGCATCAAGTCAAGGGGTTCAGTTGTTATGTCTTTTTTCTTCTTCATGTTTTAACTTATTTCCTTGCAGATAAACAAAGAAAAGCATCAGGCTGTGGTTGAATTTCTTACGCCGGAGGCTGCTACAGCAGCTATTTCTTTTGATGGACGATCTTTGTCTGGATCTATTCTCAAAATCAGACGACCAAAAGATTTTGTTGAAGCAGCTGTAAGATTTCTACTCCCTGTTAATTGTGCTGATTTTCTATCTTCTCTTTTATAATTGTGATTTTCATTGTTGGTTACCATGGTTATACCCTTTATATGAGATATCCTGTACACTCACTCTTACTGGCTAGTGCTAGATGAATGGAAGTTCCAATGATTATGTTATTAGTTAACCTGGACTAGGATCACCATGGTTTTGATTAGGTAAATGAAGATTTAAGTTTGTCAAAACTAAGGTGGAGTTGCAGAACTTGAACTACCCTTAATGTGAGGTTTCAGTTGCATATCAATCATGCGCTAGACTAGCTTCCACAATTTTTTTTGGCATCTGTGCCGGTTCATATCAGATATCAATGCAAAAACGCAAACCATGAGCACAGTTGTCTGTTGCACTTACATTATAAGCGATATACAAACTTAGCTAAGGAGGACACATGTATGCACTGACATTGTATCTGACATTCTAACCTAGTTAATGAGGAACCATATGACTAGGTATCAGTATTCCTTTGTTATAATGGTCCCAGATCAAAGTCATTATGGGCATCTCATATAAAAATATGATTCAAAATGCACGACAGAGCTGCAGTATGGCAGTAGTTATTATTCAAGGTAATGGTTGATATGTGGCTGAATCTGGTGCCGTATTTTATATTATTTGATCCAATGATGTATACATTTCATATTATTCTATTCATCCTTCTGTTCATACATATATACATACATGGATGTGAAAGGTCATGCATGTGCATGTGGATGAGTGTGAAAGAAAGAGGATAGAGAAGCACTTTCATCCACAAACCATTGATGTTAGAGAAACCACAAAGGATCTTATGCTGGAAGCAAATAAAGAGAAATGCTCAATTGTACTGTGTCTACTTGTTAGCCTCAGCTACAACTTACCATAGATTAAGGGAAGTACCAGACCTATGTAGGGTAAGCTTTATAGCTCCCCGGAAGCTTTTCCCCACAAGCCAAACTGTGACAGGTTCGTATTGGTCTTTCTGATCTATACACCATGACGTATATGTTGATTGAAAATTATGTGTTTATGATGTTATAAACCATCCATCAACATGACCCCTTTCCCTTTACCTTATCATGCTAAATGGTTGTTCGTTTTGCAACTGACAGATGAATGCTTGGAAGTATTCAAGTCAAATAAGTTTGGGTAAAATACGGAAAATCACCCTAAGATTTGTAGGTACCCTCCGTTTCATTTCTATGAAGGAGACATGAGTATAAAGTCATGTGCTTGTAGCATATGGTATTGCCATCCAGTAGAATGTGCATACAACTCTTGCATTGGAACGGAATATCACATTGAAAATTTGAAGAATATTTGACTAGAAGATAAAAGTGAAGGAAATAAAAAATGTCGCTTTTGAAACTTTTAGGGGGATATTTTTGTGAAACCTACAGAAGTTAGGGATTTTGTGTAACATACCCTTCGATCGATGCATATTTCATGACAGATAGATCTAACATGAACTTGCCTGCCATGTAGTTTAGTAAGTGAGACAAGTTTAAAGTTTGATCATAGGAAAGAGCAAAGCCGTACCTATCTATATAAGGCATAGTATATAAATGCAGACAGATTCAGAGACTCAACTTATCTTCAGATTTGGCAAATTTTTTTATCAGTTGCAGCATACAGCCATACGTATCTATACATTGATGGAAGAGGTTCACTGGCCTGGTCTCAAAGGAGAACGTAAATAATGCATGTGAGAATGATGACGTTTTCATTGTTCAGGACCTGATAGGTTTAGTTTCAATACCGCCACTTCAGCCTCACATTTTCTATATGATCTAGCATTTGAATCATTTGAGTGAAGGATTAATATTGTTTAGTCCAGTATTTGATGCCACACATAATATAAGTGAATTGGCAGTTTCCTTTGTCTCCTCTGCTATATGTATTAAAATTTAAAGGAATTTAGGGAGTTGAAGTTCAGAGTAGGTTTTGACATTTTACTTGGATCTTATGACTTGAATTCACTGCAGCTTTCTTCATTTCTAGTATAATATTTTATGTATATTGATTTTGGTTGCTTGTTGCCGACCTAATTATTTGACTATTGCATGCAGATGAATTTGTCTTTACTACTTGTGTTAAACATTCAGTTGTATTTTTCTGCATATAAGATGTGTTTTCATTCTATTCTTAGCTATCTCTCGTAAGACGTGCATATGCAATAGCCATTATTATCATTGTGAAAGTTCATTACATAAGATGGCTTTTCACTTTTGTTTACTTTAACAGCTTATGCTTTTATTCCTGAATCATTGTTGAATCTGCAGGATTTATGTTAAAGGACCCTTTTTATTTTTGTTAAACTACTAACTTGAAGAAAATTATTCAATATTACCAAATGCTGAGGAAACAGATCTTAAAGGCCCAGGTAGTGGAGTGGATGCTTAATAAAAACTTTCTTTCTCTGTCATACCTGTAAATTGAGATCGGCCTATATCTATTTGTTATTTAATATTGAAAATCCCAAGTACCCATTCCATGTGATAGTTCTAGTGTTGAAACTTATATTTTGCTGGAACTTTTACTATCTTAGCACAAGAGTCTGCTAGAACTTGTTTCTTTAGCTTCTCTGCAGCAACTATTTATACAATTTCACTACTTTTGTTGTACAAGGCATATATTTGTGTTCCTTAGATGAAAGCTTGTCTGACAATCACGTTGGAATCTCTTTTAAATAGGGTATTTTTATTGGCTGTGTCATAATTCCCATTCAGAATCTCGACAAAGCGAGGAATTTGTAAAGCAGACTTCCAGGTGTAGTGCAAAGTTTACGTGGTTGTTTCTTAACTGATTCTGCTGGTTAATCAATTGGTAGAGTCCTTTCTGGTGACTCATTTTTCCAGTGTTTGCTTTAATTTTATAGCAAACTAAAAAAGAGCTATAAATAAACTCCAATCAGGAATTTTATTATGCGACTACCTCCTGATGTTTATTTTGTGAATTCTATTTTGGGGTTAAACATAATTTACTGTCACCATGTAGAGTGTTTCAAATGTTAGGCTGTTAAAACTCATTATTCTTTTTGACCAACCTTTCAATGCATCTCTTGAAGTTGCCCAAAGCAACAGATGAAGATGGAGACTACTGAACCCTGCTGTCTTCTTATTTCTGCTCCTTTCTTCTTCCTTCTCAGAAGTTATTTGGTCATCATGTATTTTTCTCCACTGTGCGAACTTTTATTCTTCAGTGCAATATTGTTTTAGCTGCTATAGTGGATATTTGTCAAACTGCCGACAACATGCATCAGTTTTTTAGTATCCATTCTGTTTCTCAGAAAACATGTACTTATGTATCATATTGACTCTTTGGAGGATTGTATACCCTTAATGAATCCAACAATTACCAAGAACTCCTTGTTTGATGCCAAAGCAACTGCCTTGAAGGATTCTTAGTTGTTTGTTATTTATCTTCCTTTTGCTCTGGGATTGTTACTTTCTAAGCATGCTATTGGGCAAGACCCTTGAAGTTATATTTCTCCTATAGTTTAATCTAAACCGTAATATGTAGACCATAAAATATATATATGAACACTAGAAATTCTTGATTCATGTTAATCAAGTTAAGAAATAAGAGATGAACCAAGAGCTTCCACTGCTCATATGTTATATGGCCAAAATTATGCTCATCTTAGTAATATCAGGAAGCTGCATAGTGTATACAGTAGTCCTTGTATCAAATATCTATTGGAAGATCACATATGTTTTTGTTACTATTTTTCTCTTCTCTGCTTTGTGATGGGTTAAGATATTATTTGATCAATGTCTTTCAAGTACCTCAAATATTTCTTATTTATTAGATCTTATTGAAGGTTGTTATTCGTAAGAAGTACTCTGCAATGCATTATGATTCGATGTCGAATAACTGCCAATGCCGTTAGTTTTATGCTAAAATGAAGCTAATGAATCTAGGCAACTCCTAATCATCTGTCTAGGAAGAGGTATGACACGAGTTGTGGGTCTCTAATATGTTCATGTTTAGTAAGGTTGAAGTTTTTTCTTTAATGGGCATGGTATGCCATGTTCTCGCCTTCTCGGGAGGTGGCAGACCATTTTAATGAGTTTATGAGAGTGATGTAAGGGGCCTAAAGTATAGTGTATCATAATAATCTATGTCAATAGAAATATATAACTCTGGTTGATATATCCCTAAGAAAAAGCAAAACCTTGGTTTTCTGTGTCTTTGCCTGTCCAAGCATACATGTACTAACATCCTGCCGTAACTTCATCAATACTTGCAAAGGTGTACAATTTCATGTTTTTCTTTTATTCTTTAAATCTTGGATTAATTGCACATAAACTCCTTGTAGTATCACACTTTGGAATTTGTATATCTGTAGTTTGATTTTGGCAAATAAACCCTGGAGTGAAATTCGCTTGACTCTTTTACCCAGGGTGAAATTTGGCAGATATTATGCCTCGTTGGGAGCTTGAGTATTTGAGGGTAAAGAGTCAAAATTTCATCCAGGAGTCTATCTGCCAAAATCAAACTACAAGGGTAATAAGTTCCAAAGTGCGATACTACAGGGGGTCTACCTGCTTTAACCCCTGAGATGATGTTACCGTAGAGATTGGTTTCATGTGACTGTAGTGATTCAAGGTCTTATGTGCAAATATTATGATTTTTGCAACATGTCTTCAGTTGCGCCTTATTTGAAGGACTAATATCAAAAATAGCCTTTATTATTATTATTATTATTATTATTTATAATGTAGAACAAGTGAAATCTAGAATTTGTTAAATGAGTCTCTAATTGGTCAAAATCAATGATCTCCACGTAAATGTTTCTTGTCAGGTCATTCTGTGATGCTATCTACTGTATGTGACTGCTGTTTAGATCTTTGATCATATGCTTGTTTTTCACCTTATAGATTATCGAGGTTGCCAAAAAAAGCTCTTGCAGCATCCTTTTTGGACAAAGTTTGAGGGTGACAACCTACCAGGATGAACCATTAACGTTTTTCAGTTTATGAGAGTCTTCTTCATCTCCTGAATGTTCATCAAATTGCTTTTCTGGTGGAAAATCAGTTAGTTACAGAAATCTAAAAGTTTGCCGGTATTTTGCTTGAATAGTAGGTGTCATGTAAACTCTTTTTTAGAATTTATCACCTAGTTTCAGTTCTGAGTTTCCTTCTTCTGATGGTAAATGCTTTGGAATTTTAGATTAACAAACACTGGATATTTACAATAGAAATTCTATTCATCACAATTCACTAATTTTTGTAGGAAATGGAGGGAGTGTGAGAGGGAGGGAGGGACAAGAGCACTGCCTGTCAGTCAAGACATCTTATGAATGACCTCTTCTTAAAGTCTAGTAGAGTTTATAATTAGCAATGTGGTCTTCCCTGTCTTGGAATACAGTAGAAGGTGGGAGGAAGGAAATAAGGTAGTTTAATTTGGTACTGAGACCTCTGGATTGCGTGCATCAAAGGTTGCGCACGCCAATAACAACTGAGTGTAATGAGAGTAATATCACTATCACCCATTGTTTTAATGACTGAATATAATCTTGACATGTCAGCTGAAACTTTCAGCAACTACCTAGCAATGTTTGGAACATAGGAGGAAGGGCTATAGAGGCTCTTAGGCCTTTTTAAAGAGTCACTAAGTCGGCTTGACTGCAAACATGGATTCTTCAATTTGAAACAAGGAATATTTCGAAAACTAAAGCTTTTCTACTAACGGCACTGAAGATTAACATTGGTTGAGAATAGTGGTTTGCTCATGCCTCATGGGCTCTAATAAAGTGGGTGTAAAATCTTACGGGCAGCTTTAATTTAAACTTGTTGATTACATAATTAATTAAAAATTATAACTTTACGTTATTTATAAAAAAGTTTCCTAGAATGAGAATATGTTCTGATGGTATGTAAGTCCTTCAAATGAAATAATATTAAGGGCTGACAAGTATAGTTATTTTTATATTTTACCTATTGGAATGTTTTATTGCATGATCATTATTACTATATCCTGAGAATTTTAGCGTGTCTATCTGATGTTTTATAAACTAAATGAATTAAACCTTTTATTTACATGAACTTATGAAGAAAGGACGACTTCCTTCCAAGTTATGGGTACTGAAAATTAAAAAATTTGCTTCTTCTTCTAAGTTGGTTTATTTCTCCAAGTACGTCGATTGGCAAACTTGTCTCTATGAGTGCTAGTCGCTTCTCATATTTGTTAATCATTTTCAGTCTTCACTCCCATTCTTTTATCGATAATAATATGTGGATCTTGTTTTTGTTCATCGACATGTTGGCTTCCTGTTGAGTGGCTTGATATATTTTCCAGAACAGAATGCTTTCTCAGTTACATCATTGTCTATATTCATGTACCAGGTTTTCAGACAATTGCTATTTTCATGCAGACTGGAGCTCCGGAAAAAACACTGCCAACGGTCAAAGCAATATCAGAAGTTGTGAAAGATTCACCCCACAAGGTATCCATTCTGAAGCATATTTATCATCAGTTTTCACATTTTTTTATTGTTTATTTGAAATTGAAGCCTGCTCCACTTAATGCCTTCAATACACAATGCATGCTACGATTCTTGTTTATACAATTCGTAGGAAAGGTGAGAATTATACATGGGAATGAGTTGAACAAGTGATTCCTTATTGTCTTTTTTATGTTTTTCCAAATAAAAAAAAGTGATTTCATGTTAGATTACCTTCTCCTTCGGTTGCTGTGAACTTTGTCATACAAAAGGAGTGATTTAAATTTTCAGTCTCATGTTAACTATTGATCAATTGTTCTTCTTACTTCTTAGAGTCCAATTTCTTGTTGTCTTTGTCTTTTCCACAAGTTTTCTGGTCTTTATCGTGTTTACTCATGTCTCTTATTTGGATTGTTATATTTGAATATAGTCCTATGAAATCTAGCATGAGTCGGACGGTCAGAACGATGCAGTTTCTTATTGCAGATATTTTATTTTCCACTTCCCCTAGATACAGTTAAAGGTGAACTGAAATAAGTTGCTGCTCGTGGTCTATGTTACCTGTGTACTTCTAATCAAAAGCCGTACCCGTACCCATACCCATACTTGCACTCACACCTGTACTGAAACTTCTTGGACACTTCTTGAATATATGCATATATTTATTCAGGCATATTCTCAATTATATAATACATGTTTTAGTTTAAAACATTTCTCATATGCTTCTTGGACATATATTCTACACTTAACATCTATTTCTTGTATATTGATCTTATGTAAATACAAAACAATACCGATCTTGTGTAAATTATTAATTTTAAAATATAAAAATATACATAACACATATATTGTCCCCATACCCTACTTTTACAAAACTGCAGTGTCCCGTACCCGCACTCGTACTACTACCCATAACCATGCAACTTAGCTCATGGGTGACCTTGAAACGTGGAAGATGGGACTTCCTACACTAGCTTTCCTACAGAATGTCAAACTGTGGTTTTCAGCTAGGAGCATACAGTTCTAACAACATGAAAAACCAAAATTAGGTGTTTGATTCTCTGTATTTTGATCCCATAAGTATCTCTTAAGATCCTGGCAACTAGTATTCAGATTTCTGTTGTTGGAACTGCACTTAGGAATGAAGTTCCAACCGCTGGAGTCAGGAAGCATTAGATCTAAGAAAATTTCTCTTACATGTGAATCCTCTATCATGTCCAACATGAACTAATTATGGTTGATAGTTTTTAAAGAATATCATAGATTATTTATGGTACTAGTTTAATATCTCAGTTTAATGTTGTTACTGTTTTCTACATGAGTTGACATGTAGAAGTTGGATTGGCATTCAAAGCATACTGCTATTGTTATATCAGTGATGGTTTTTCTTCTATTCCAGATCTTCATTGGTGGAATTTCCAACGCTCTGTCATCTGATATGGTAAGCTGGTTCACGACATTACTTGTGTTGAATTTTCCTGATTTAAGTGTCTTCTTTCTGGAACCTTGGTGTAGCTTATGTAGTTCCCTTCTGATATGCTTTTAGTTTCGGGAGGTTGTTAGTGCTTTTGGACTTCTGAGAGGATACCACTTTGAGTTCAATGAGGTGCTAGATGGGCCATGTGCCTTTTTAGAGGTATGCTACTGCCAAATGTTAGCTCAAGTATAATGCGGTTGCTGAACCTTATTTGATGACTGAACCTGATGTTGATATCACAGTATGAAGATCATTCCATTACTCAGAAGGCTTGTGCTGGGCTTAATGGAATGAAGCTCGGTGGGCATGTCCTTACTGCAATTCAAGCATTTCCTGATTACCATGGGTCGGAGGTAACTTAGTTTCTGATCCACTGTTTTAACTGAGTAGTTCAATGTATGTTCATGTTTAGATGTTTTCCCTGTTTAAATAATTCCTCATTGTTTCAGGAGGATGCTGAAAACCTTCCATCATATGACGTTCCCTTGCATGCAAAACCACTGCTTGCAGACCCCACACGAGTGCTACAACTCAAGAATGTGGTATGGTATCTTTATTTATGATGCAGACTTGAAATCAGTATAAAATTTAAAAATTCAAATTCATCTGTTCTACTACATTTTTTGATGATTGTGCTCTGCAAACATGAATCAGGTCAACCCGGAGGAATTCCTGTCACTTTCCGATTCTGAATTAGAGGAAATAGTTGAAGATATAAGGTTGGAGTGTGCAAGGTATGGTCAATTTCGACACAATTCATCTGAATCTCAATTTTCACACCTAACTGTATGAAAAATCGTATCGTCTATTTATCAAAACTCTTCAGGTTTGGAACCGTAAAGTCTATAAATGTGGTTAAGTTCAACAGCAGGAGCAAAGATGATACTCAAGATTCTGAACGACGAGAGCCCCTCGCTGCCACAGACCAATCAAGGAGTCCTACCAAGAGTTGTAAGAATGGAGATTTGGATGCAGCAGCTTTGGATCGTGCTGAAGGGCTTCAAGATGCCAGTAATATTAATGCAGAGAATGAAACTAATGATGATGGGAACCCAGAGGAAGATGATATAGAGAAGAGAAACAATGACGATGAGAAACCCGTGGAGTATAAGATGAAAGAAACTGTGAACCTCGGCTCTACAGATGGGGACACTTCTCAATTGGAAGTTCCTTCTAACCTTGATAAGGATATAAATATAACAGAAGAAAACACTGCTAAATCTGAAGCACATACAAGCAGCGAAGGGATCGAGCAAAGTCCAGTCGGGACTGCTATTCCTATGGATACTACAGATTTGGAAAATTCTGCTGCTGATGAAGACGAGGTAGAGAATGGAGACGACAGTAATCATCAGAGTCACAATGTGGAATTACTTGAACCAGGTTATGTATTGGTTGAGTTCTTGAGGAAGGAAGCAGCATGTGCTGCCGCACACTGTCTCCATGGGCGATATTATGGCGAACATATTGTTTCAGCTGGTTATTTTTCACATGATCTCTACATAACAAGGTTTTCCAGGTGAAGTAAATGTGTTTGTTTAGATCTGCTACGTTTCTTTACCTTGGGTTTTCGGACCAGATCAGGACCAATGTGGGGTCATTGGTGATAGAGAGGTAGTACCTGTAAGTCACATGATTTCTTTCAAGGATGAATGCGTTACTAGTTGTGACCAATGTCTACAAATGGCGAGAGGGGTCCTTGGTAGTTTATTATTTTGAGTTCGATTCTATGGTTTGTTATTTTGAGTTCAATTCAATGTCACTAATTTACTGCTCAATATGATTCTCACATATAGCTTGCATTTTCTATGATGGCAAGGAAACTATGCGTTGGAACGTCATCTATCAATTTGTTTTTTTTGTATCTTTGATCTGTTTGATTTGATGAGCTTGATACAGAATGCTATGAGGAGTGTTATTGATTTATTATATGGCCAAATACATCTCTAGCTTGTTACTCATCTTCTTGGTATGGTAAGTGTCCGCAACAATTTATGTCCTCGTACTGGAGTACTAGAGCTTTCTAGTTATCATGCAAGAGTTTTGAAGCTCAAAACCCATCTAATACGATGCTTGAAGTTGAAACAATATGTTCGCCATAATACCAAGTAGTATCCTTTGGCTGAAGTTGAAACTCACCTCATTTATCTAATTAACAATTAATGCTTGCAAAACGTTGCCTTATGACATTCATTTTGTTGAAGTATTTTGGCTGTCCATAATCAACTTTGATCTCTGGTGTACGTTTACACAAATCATCAAGATCAAGAGCTCATCTGGATCACTGCAAAGTTTTCACTAAGCAGACGCTTAAAGAGTATACCTAGGAGTTAATAAAAATTTATAATTGTAAAACAAAAATTAATATAATTCATAGAGAATTATAATGTCAGTTATATTAGAAAAAACTATTACCATCCAAATTTATTGGATGATTATAATTAAGAAAACAATCTATATTCACTACTAAAATCACAATGCAAAGCAACGGACCCAATCTTGGCTTGTCCAAACGGCCCGGCCCGGCAAACCGGGTACAGGCCGGGCAAAAATATTAGAAAAAACTATTACCATCCAAATTTATTGGATGATTATAATTAAGAAAACAATCTATATTCACTACTAAAATCACAATGCAAAGCAACGGACCCAATCTTGGCTTGTCCAAACGGCCCGGCCCGGCAAACCGGGTACAGGCCGGGCAAAAAATTACTTGTACTTATATAATTTACAAATATAAAAAATCATAGAAATTAAAATGATAAAAATAAATTATTTATTAATAATCACTAACAATTACAAATTTATTTTGGAATTTATTGTATCACAATAGATGAATACATCTCAACTAGGTTGACACCTACTCATTTACATCACTATCATTTGCAACTCTTTCCAAAATAATTTATCTTTCCGAAATAATTTATCAGAAATTTTTAGCTAAGAAATAAAAATTACAAACTAATGAATAATTTCTACTCTTTGTCTCTATCTCCTATTCCCAACTCTTCAAGTTTATCTTCAATATTAGCTATCCGATCAATGCATTGAGTTCCCTTCTCGTACCTCCACCAATCTTGTAAGCACATTACCACCTGTACGGTAGACAGATCTAGCGATTTCCTGTAGTCGTCGATCAAACGTCCTGATGTGCTGAAGACAGATTTTGAAACTACCGTGGAAACCTACACTGTTAGTAAGTCACGAGCCATGATGAAAAGTATAAGATATGAAACTGTTCCATATACTCTCCACCATTGTAAAATATTAAAACTATTATTTTGACTTTTAACTAAAGATGCAGTTAAATATTATTCAATTTCAAAAACTTTCATTGATGATCCAGATCCAGATCCACTAGTTAGCTGAGTTATCAATAATTCCCTATCAAAACTCTTACATTTGCCCCGACTTGAACTGGTAGAAACAGAAGTTGTACGCTAATGTGTACTTACACCATATCTAGCTGCATACTCATCATATAATCTTTAAAAAGAAGTTCTAATAGTATTATGATGAGTAAGAGTAGTAATAGTTTGACTATCATCAGTGTCTATTATCATGTTACTATATAAAGAATTTAATAAATTTCGAAGGCCAACATCCTTCAAACATGGATCAATAAGAACCCCAAACCAAAAATAATATGAATAGACCTAAAATACTTATTAGTTTTGCTTTTCATTTAAAAAATCATATTTCCAAAATATTATCCATACGATAATTATTAAAAAAAAGTTTGAATACTTAAAACTTGTAAAGCAGCTTGAATAATAGTTTGATAATAACATAGTTAATCATTAAAAACTTGCAACATCTCTTTTACACTATATATAACTAACATCCTCAGTTATTCTATACATATTATCAGAACTAGAACTAGAAGTATAAAAAGCAATAAAATCATTTATAATTTATTTATACTCTATTGCTACATTTAACATTGCATAGGTAGAATTTCACCTATGGTCGACATCTTTTGGAATTAATCTGAGTTTAAAATTTTTTCTTTTACCAAATTATTTCTATCTTTAAAGTCTTTGTTCAGAAGCATTATGAGCATAAAGTATTGTCCTAATTTTTTCTATCATGGATTTAATTTCACCAAATACACTTTGAACAATTAAATTTAAAATATGACACATACATCTAATATGAAAAATATCACCATGACATGACAATAACAAAGATGATTTGATATGATCAACAGCTACATTATTATTACTTGCATTATCTAGTGAAAAAGAAAGTATTTTTTTTGAAATTTCTAATTTTAGAAGTTCTTCTATTATTAAATTTACAATATTAATACCACTATGTGAATCTTCCAATGCAATAAAAATAATAATTCCTCCCGGGCTCGGGCCCGAGCGGGCCGGGCATCGGACTAGCCTGTTCATTTTTTCTTAAAATATTATTTTTTACTTAAAAAATTTCAAGAGTAAATAACAATAAATTAAGCAAAATTTTGATAAAAAATAAATCATATTATTAATTACTTGTACTTATATAATTTACAAATATAAAAAATCATAGAAATTAAAATGATAAAAATAAATTATTTATTAATAATCACTAACAATTACAAATTTCCTGGGCCCGGGCCCGAGCGGGCCGGGCATCGGACTAGCCTGTTCATTTTTTCTTAAAATATTATTTTTTACTTAAAAAATTTCAAGAGTAAATAACAATAAATTAAGCAAAATTTTGATAAAAAATAAATCATATTATTAATTACTTGTACTTATATAATTTACAAATATAAAAAATCATAGAAATTAAAATGATAAAAATAAATTATTTATTAATAATCACTAACAATTACAAATTTATTTTGGAATTTATTGTATCACAATAGATGAATACATCTCAACTAGGTTGACACCTACTCATTTACATCACTATCATTTGCAACTCTTTCCAAAATAATTTATCTTTCCGAAATAATTTATCAGAAATTTTTAGCTAAGAAATAAAAATTACAAACTAATGAATAATTTCTACTCTTTGTCTCTATCTCCTATTCCCAACTCTTCAAGTTTATCTTCAATATTAGCTATCCGATCAATGCATTGAGTTCCCTTCTCGTACCTCCACCAATCTTGTAAGCACATTACCACCTGTACGGTAGACAGATCTAGCGATTTCCTGTAGTCGTCGATCAAACGTCCTGATGTGCTGAAGACAGATTTTGAAACTACCGTGGAAACCTACACTGTTAGTAAGTCACGAGCCATGATGAAAAGTATAAGATATGAAACTGTTCCATATACTCTCCACCATTGTAAAATATTAAAACTATTATTTTGACTTTTAACTAAAGATGCAGTTAAATATTATTCAATTTCAAAAACTTTCATTGATGATCCAGATCCAGATCCACTAGTTAGCTGAGTTATCAATAATTCCCTATCAAAACTCTTACATTTGCCCCGACTTGAACTGGTAGAAACAGAAGTTGTACGCTAATGTGTACTTACACCATATCTAGCTGCATACTCATCATATAATCTTTAAAAAGAAGTTCTAATAGTATTATGATGAGTAAGAGTAGTAATAGTTTGACTATCATCAGTGTCTATTATCATGTTACTATATAAAGAATTTAATAAATTTCGAAGGCCAACATCCTTCAAACATGGATCAATAAGAACCCCAAACCAAAAATAATATGAATAGACCTAAAATACTTATTAGTTTTGCTTTTCATTTAAAAAATCATATTTCCAAAATATTATCCATACGATAATTATTAAAAAAAAGTTTGAATACTTAAAACTTGTAAAGCAGCTTGAATAATAGTTTGATAATAACATAGTTAATCATTAAAAACTTGCAACATCTCTTTTACACTATATATAACTAACATCCTCAGTTATTCTATACATATTATCAGAACTAGAACTAGAAGTATAAAAAGCAATAAAATCATTTATAATTTATTTATACTCTATTGCTACATTTAACATTGCATAGGTAGAATTTCACCTATGGTCGACATCTTTTGGAATTAATCTGAGTTTAAAATTTTTTCTTTTACCAAATTATTTCTATCTTTAAAGTCTTTGTTCAGAAGCATTATGAGCATAAAGTATTGTCCTAATTTTTTCTATCATGGATTTAATTTCACCAAATACACTTTGAACAATTAAATTTAAAATATGACACATACATCTAATATGAAAAATATCACCATGACATGACAATAACAAAGATGATTTGATATGATCAACAGCTACATTATTATTACTTGCATTATCTAGTGAAAAAGAAAGTATTTTTTTTGAAATTTCTAATTTTAGAAGTTCTTCTATTATTAAATTTACAATATTAATACCACTATGTGAATCTTCCAATGCAATAAAAATAATAATTCCTTTAAACATCTTCAAATGCAATAAAAGAAATAATTCTTTTAAACATTTGCCAATTATCATCAATCCTGTGTGTTGTGATACATAAATAATTACTTTGTGCTCTAGATGTCCAAATATCAGAACTTAAATCAGAACTTAAAGAAAATTTACAGTTTAAATTTAAAAATAAGAAATTATTTTTGCTTGTTCCTAGTGATAATATTTTAAAATATCACGCTGGCAAGATTGACGGGAAAATTTTTTAACTGTGGGATAAAAACCGTCTGTAATCATATCTTCAAATTCATCATTTTCTGGCTTTAATTTGCGTCATAGTTCCAACTACCGAGACTACCGGAGGATGAGGATTGGGAGAGTAAAGATTGTCGAATACCACCTTGAGGCGTTGACTGACCTCTGTTGTGCTTTTCTAAATGGCGTTTGAGGTGGTTGGTGCCGCTTTTATGATGAACTTGGAAAATATGGTCACACAACGCACACTTAGCCT